CCACCAGGAGGTGTACCCCACAATCCCTGAGCGGGAGCTCGAAATTGAAGAGTTCCTGGCCCAGGGCATGCCTCTATCGGCGCTCGCCCGTGAGAGCCGTGAGGCAGCGTGACTTCGACTTGAGTCATTCCAATTAATTTTTCATTGTTTTTGATTGAATTTGTGTGTCTTTTGTAGGTTTTGATTTATCTTTGATTTATCCTGGAGGAAATCTTGATGAAGTTAGGGAATTAGTCTTGTGCTTCTAAGGGATATAATTTGTGGATGGGGCGATGAAAAACTTGGCCCTCGGCTGTTCTGATTGTACAGGAGCGAGCGTTTTCGGGGGAGGTATTATCGGGAAGCGCGATAACTTTGCATAGCGGCCAGAAGGCCCGCTTGTATGATTCTCCTTTGAGTAAGCACACCTCGTCGATTTTAAGGGGTCTTGCCGCGACAGGCGTCTGTTTGTGGGCCGTTTTCAGATACTGTAGATATTCGTCGTGATATCGCTTCCAATAAGAACTGAGGATTCGTTGCTGGTATTTCCATCGCCTGGAGAATACGATTTTATCCGCATCTGACGCTTTGCTTGGTTCCGATATATGTTCTGGGATGATTGTTCTTCCTCGGTATCCGGAAAGGTGGTCGGCTGGCGAGAGTGCTTCGATTTCATCCGCTCCTGAAGCTATCGTGGTCATCGGTCGGCTGCTTACCATTGCTTCGATTCCGCTGAGGATTATTTCTAAATCTCTGAAATGAGGGACTGCGGATGCTAGGATCTTTCGGAATGGCCTCTTAATCGTTTGGATTTGTCTTTCGTAGAAGGCCCCGAAATTCCGTGCCATCGGTACGATGAATTTCCAGTCGATCATGAGGTCGGAGATTCGTCTTCTAATTTCGCCGTTCTTGACGTTCTCGTGAATGAGCTTTAGTTCCTCGGAGGCTCTCTGGAAGGATAGACCGTTGTCCGAGGTTATCGTTCTCACAGAGCGGAGCCGGTTGAGGAATTTTTTTAAGGCTTCTAAAACTTCGACTGTCGATAGGTCTGTCGTTAATTCTTGGTGGACTGCTCTGGTGACTGCGCAGGTGAAAAGGAGAATGTATCCTTTTCCTATTTCGCCAGAATTCTTCTTGTATCTAACTGGTCCCGTGAAATCGCACCCGAAGTGATGGACTGGTGGGGTCTCTTCGATTCGAAATGCTGGTAAGGGGGTGTCGGCAGACTTGCTGCTTCTGCGTGGAACATCTTGCATGTTGCGCATGCCTTTATGACCTGACGTGCTATTTTTCTCGCGAGGATGATCAGATAATCTTGTCGTAGGTGTTGCAGGATATAATTTATCCCGCCTGAGTGGAAGCATTTTTTCTCATTGATGTCCTGGACAAGTAGCCTAGAGTCAAGTGGAGCGATCCCGCGTTACAAGAGCCCACCAACCCCCTTGCGCGGACTTCGAGTCTCTACGTATGGATAAAGTACCAAGGCATCAAGCACAGCTCAAGTTTACTCATGGACACGTAATTGACATGCATCAATATCAACTCTCCATCTTTTCGAGGTATGATGATGTTTGATTAATCGATTAGCTAGCCGTCTCATTGAGAATATGATTGAACATGGCGATTGGTTGCTGCGGGCAGCACCAGGACTTCAACAGTTGTCTTCCTGGTCGCACGGGTCTTCTTCTAGCAGTCGCTTAACTTGCTTATACGCTGAGTGTAACTTTGAAAGACAGAGGTATGCTGAGCGGAATCCTCTGTATTGTCTCGTGATCTTGATTTGCTCCTTCGCTTCTGCCAGATTGTCGTCGTCTATGTACAGTAAGCCCATCTCCAAAGAGGAGAAAGCAGACACGTGAATCTCGTCTCCCAACTCCGGACCGCTAGAATTGAAGAAATTCCCTTCAGTCACTTTTGACCCAGAGGCGGTTCCAATCACCCATTGATGGACCAAGACAAAGTATTTCATGCAAAAATGAATTTGATGGAGTCGGGTAGAACAGCATGGACTACTCACTGCATGGTGACTTCTCTGAAAGCTGCCTCAGCGGCGCCGAGTCTTTTTCTCGTACCGGAGAATAACGCCTTGCAAGAACCTGACGAGACACCAATCTGGGAGATAGGCAGCGTCGTTCTCGTACGAAGCCCTGATACGAGCCACCTCAGTCTCGATTTCTGCCTTCACTTTCGACAGTGTGTCATTGTTCTTCGAGAACATGTTGAAGAAGCCCCACAGGTACATCAGTTCCTGGAAATGATCATATACGAATCATTAAGGGTCTTGGCATGCACGGCAATGGGCCGAACAATGCGGCTCAAATTAGAAATAGCCGTCCCATAGTGCTCCTACATAGTGGGGAAGCGTGAGTCGACCGCGCTCCAGGAAAGTGCGAGCTTTCATCGAGCGGAATACTTCGAGCGGAATTGTACGGCCGGCTATTCTTTTGCAGGAAGGTGCAACTTTGGACATCAAGTCGTGAACACCTTCTAGTGAGCCGGAGGCGTTATTGTTGATGTTGCCCTCGATCTGAATCAAATAAATTTTTCCGTGAGCGCAATGTATTTTCAAGATATGCCACCGAGGGCGTCGGAGCGGAGAAGATCATCAAAATCGCCTTACCTCTTTCATGTAGGTACAGACTCCCTTCAAGTAAAACGACGTCGCCTCCGACCAGCTGCATTTCCGATGCAGATCGTCCAGAACCCTCAGAACATCGTCCCAAGACCCAGCACGCTGGATTGAATGGAAAGAAATCATGAATTGATGACGATGAATGGAGCTCCGAGTCTACGGTGTCGTGGACTGCTGTCACTCACCAATATAGGTAGGCGTGATCCCAGTTGAAGAACGCGTCAAAGGGGATGAAGTCGTCCATCACCTTGTTTGCTTCTTCGAATTGTTCCAGAGCGCGTTCGATGCGACCGTGAATCTGATGCGCTCGACCTTGGAAGTAGAGACCGATGGCTCCATTCGGGAATTTACCGATGAACTGCTGGACAACTTTGTCGACCATCTCGAGATTACAGTCGCCATTTCCTGATCAAACGGAAGATTTAGATTCCGGAACTCAGAATCGGGAAAACTGAAGTGCGAACGTGTGGAGGAGAACACACGGTCCCGCTTCTCCAGAGTTAAAATCTTACCGAAAATATAATGGAGGTAGCTCTGATGCACTAGAAGAGCAATGCAGCTGAAAAGCGACATGAAGCCTTCGAACTTCTCCGTCTGTTGGACTAATAGTTGTTCCCCAGTGGTTTCATCACCGTGGAATCCAATGAATTCCAAGAGATTCAAAACTTTTTGCGGAAGCGAGGAGATAATCTGCAAGAGCGTACCGTCAAACAAGTGCTACTATTATTTATTACGTCATTGTCATCCTATTGGGGGATTAATCAACTTCAGGCTCTACTCACCAAGTTGTAGACGCCAATCCCGCACATGACACCGCTTTCGAAATGCACCTTCTCCTCGTGTTCGCCCCACGATCGTTGTTTGAGTAACGCGATGCACTCTCTTCGAGAAGACAATGGGAATGAAGGGGAAAATCAGTGATATTTCTCTATAGGCGTTATCTGTCATACGCATGGGCTTCATGCAATGTACGCGCTCTGAATGACATCTTATAGTCGCCGCTTCGTGGGGAAACAAAGAATCGCTCGACTCGCTATAGCACTCACTTGAAAGCCATGTAACACGACCGGAACTTGAAAGCTCCTTGAATGAATGAAATGAACGAGGGATCCTGGACCATAGTCAGGATCGCTTCCGCCAGCAAACAAATCGCATAGCAGAGTTCAGCGTGTGCCTGGGCGATTGTGTATGAATATATTTAATTCATGCGCCCGACTCTGTGAGCTGTCAAAGGAAGTCGGTGTAGAGCAGATTCGAGTGCAGCGGCATTATCGTTAATCAGCTCTACCTGTTCTGTCGTATGAGAGTTGTAATCTTCGCTGAACATCATTCGGTAGACGGTTGACGTCGATTTTCTCCTAACGTGACAAAACTGTGTGGCTTCCGCCAAAGCTGCTACCGCTCTTGCAACATCGTCCTGTGCATTAAGATCTCATTGAAAGATCTGTTATCACCGAGTACGTGACCCGCAGCAGCGGTCGTTATATAATTAAAACGATATCGATCGAGGCGAGATTACCTTGTGAAGTGAGAGACCTGCTCGGCAAAACAAGAGGTGCGAATATCCAACAGCATGATAGACGCTCCGAGTGCGCCTGGAGACAAAATAATGGAACGTCTATGCGGGATCAAGAGACACTTTCTATCCTCGGAAATTCCATCGCGATAAACCCGATTCCGATACATTGTAATTCCTCAAGGTGCACGCGTTCTTCTTGCTCACCTATCTCGGATACCCTCGAGGTGATCGGTGACATCGTTGACCACAATCCGCTCTATGTGTATCATGAACTCTTTGAGTGCTTCATCGATGGGTATGGTTTTAGTTGATCTGTGAAAAATTAAAACGAACTTAGATCATACCCGGCTTCGGCATCCCGAACTCAGGCTCCCCTTCAGCTGGGGCTGAGAATAGTGCGGAACGAACACAATTCCCTCATCTCTGAGGAATAGTTTCACAAATGAACTTGAAAAACCATGTTCAAGGTTAACCTCTTGAAGTGACTCTAGAGGGAGGAGATCATTCCCTTAGACTGGGCATTGACGACTTGAATCCCTTCCACATTGAATGAATATTGCAAATGCTATCAATTCAGGTGGGGCTCCATGAATTGGGGGTCAGAGAAGAAACCTATCCACTTTTTCCGGGAGCGGTCACAGAAAAAAGAATACCTTTGATTCGATTCTGAACACTGCCGCCTCAGCCATTTGAAATTGTGCATCCTACCCGGCTGATCAGGACCGAGTCGTCTCGGTTGAAGTCGAGACAGATCTCCGAAGGGACCGTATTCGATCCCCAAGACGATCTCCCAGCCATGAGCTAGGCCATCGAAGCTGTACAAATGTGGGTAGAGCGACGCAATGGCGAAGATCGACATCGGCCGCCGTTTTTGCCAAGGTTAGTTAGGCTGGTCCGGCCTTAGATCGTAACCGGCGGCGACGTTTCTCACGGATTCCGTGTAATTGTTTTCAGTAAACGATCCAGAGTGACGATCCGCGATTCGAGACCGTCGCATGATCAATTCATTCGGAGCAATCGATTCAAGAATGAGCTTACTTGTCTTTACGACCCATCCTGGCAGGTGTCGTGATCTCGAAGCGTAAGAAGCCCGTTCGTCTGTTCGCGTCGAACATTCGGAAATGCGAACGGAGCTGCGAAACCGTCGAAATATTTCTTTCCCTCTCGGTTTTTATCGAGATAAACTGAGGAGCTCTTTCGATTCTCCGCTCGTTGAGCTCGACACCGCGACACTGTGGAGCGCCGTGATCCGTTTCGGGGCTTATAATGCAGCACCGGGCTTAATCTAAAAATAGGGAAGTGAGATCCCTGCTCTTCCACCTTTGAAACGACGATGAAACAGCCCCCATAAGACATTCCGATATACAGGCTCGAAGTGCTCGAGGAGAAGTGGAATCGACAGGTTCATTCATGAGACGGTGCACGGAGAAACTCCTACGTGAGCCCGACACGCTCCTCCAAGCGATTATGTGAGCGGATATCGCACGGCGCCAGCTCTTAATGCGCTCCGAGTTCTTCTCACGCACCGAGTTCGTATCAATAGCCCTATCGAGGTACGGAGTTGAGGTTTCAGATTGGCATCCAAGATCCGTCCGCTTGGATTCCCTGATTTCTGGAAACCGCATGTCTACTGTCATACATGGAGCGCAACCGGCCGGAATTTTCCGGAATCCCGGGAGAACTGAGGGGCGCCGCGTCCCTCAGTGGCACTCAATGTGTTACCGTGAGGCACCGTCCTCATTCACTCGAAGGGCTACCGACACCGTCATGAGTCGTCAGGCTTGACTTTCTCTCTGACGTAATGCGTTTTTTTCGCTCATAACAGAGCGATCGGATCGGGATTTTCCCACGTATATAATAATAGAGACATGCTATCCAGAAGAGTCCGGATCCGGTACTTGACACCGAAACAGAGAACAAAGAGACTATAGCGCTGAACGTGTACATGTATCGAAATGGGAGCCCGAGTCGGATCCCCACGACGACGTCCTTAAGAGATGAGAGGAATTTCTGCGATATTTTCGCCTCGAGCCTCTTCCGGAGTTCCACGCAGCGAACACGGAATTCGGTGCACCCTGATCTCGACCGGTCGCAGCCCGTCCCACGGATCGATTCGCGGGCTCCGAACAACCGATTATATAGATTCCGCCAGTACGGACACCGGCGATTCATTTCCGAGATACAGGAGCCAGGAGCCTCACTCGCAGAGGACGGTGGAAGCTAGAAGATTTTCCCTAGAGTCTCGGGCGAGCGAATGAAAGACGTGGTGAACTGATAAACTTTCGTGGCAGAAGTTCGCCACAAGCGCTTCAAGTGCGTCAACAGTGCAACACTGGCGAATTATTTATCACGCGATCACGCCAGAGGCATCTTCACGAGCAGGTGAAGCTTCTCAAGCTGGAAGAAGGAGCGAAGAGGTACTTCTTGGACTCGCGGAGCTGCTCTTCTGGCAATCGGAGCACTCCGAGCATGTCGTTGAGTTCCACGAATTGGGATCACGGAGCAGACTCCTGAAATTCTCATTCTTGTTCCAAAGTTCTGACGTAACAGCTCCGGAGATCCGCAAAAAACCGATCCGGTTCTCCGTTCGCCCCAATGAGCGAATTTGGTGGCTCAAGAGTCCTCTTTGTAAGATGATTTGGAATCTTCTCGCTTTCCAACACAGCGACCTTCATCTGGGAATTCTGGGGATGAATATCCTCTTGATGGACCGGCCCCAGTGACGACGTAGCGTTCCTCGATTGCGGATCGTTACAGCTAGAGCAAGCGAGTTGAAGTTCCTCTCCATTCGTCAGAGGAAGCGTAAAGATTCTCGCTAGCCATTGAATCTATTGATTTGCGCTCGCGGAGTCGATTCTCTGCGTGAAACTCGAGGGTATGACGGAGGGTAGCACTCATTGTAGAGCGGCGGGAGAATTAGACGAAGCGAGCTATTCGTCTTTCGTGAAAATGAGAGTTGTTTTCAAGGGGCATGTGCGTCTCAGTTCCTCCCCATCCCGTCGGTGTTTTTCTGGATAAGTCGGGGAAATACAAGTGCCGCATTGAAGTTCACAGCGCAGGGAGACGATGGCTCCGCGCTCGTTCCCGAGTCAGCTCCATCCCTTCAATGGTGCGCCGCACATCGAAGGGATCTCGAACAGCGCCGGAGCAGCGTCTGCCGTTAAATCAAGCCCTCCAATCGTCTCGGAGGGAGCAGTCTATGCGATATGGTGTCTCTCTGTATTTCGGGGAAAAGCCAATTTCACGCAACAGAAAAGACGGTGCCGCGAGGGTTACTGGAACCCATGAATATAGGTGTGATTACATTCCATTGAATTCTGGCAGCGAAATCGAATAATCAAGCAGACGCTTCATCTGTCTCTTCGTTGGTTTGTGACCAAGCGAAAACACAAGTTGGACGTTCTTTCGACAGCTAATTGCGACGAGAAGGATGCTTATCGGGAGGAAAAATATCCTCGAATACTCTTGAAGGAAGTGTCACCTTTGCAGCCAGTCAGATTCCGCCTAACCGCCCGAATGTTTTGCTCGAGAACTCTTCAAGGCGGATGGGAGGAGTATTCGAAGCGGATGGTCTTTTCGGAGGAAAAAGCGCCCTACCGGTCAGCGGTCTGCATCGTAGTCGCACACCACAGCCAAAAACGAGGAGTCGTCGCTTGAAAACGACGTCTCTTCGGAGCGGTGCGTCGACAGCACCTCTGGACTCCCTCCAAGGTCGAGGTGCGATGAGTGCGAAAGAACTCAACGCTCGCGCGCCCCGTTAATTCCACTAAAGGCAGAAAAGCGTGTTCTAGTCAATAGGGCTCGCTGATCGGTACCGACGAGAATCGACATTGAGGACGCTGGCCTTTTCGAAATGACCGTGAAAGCGGGAGAAGATGTGACAGAATTATTCAATCGGTTCCGGAAAAGCATCTCTCTCCGTAATCGGGTAGCTACTTCCGAGATGATAAGGAATGAGACGTTAACGCCGACACTCATTCCGGACTGCGTGCGATCGGGAAGGAGCGAAAAACGCGCGCAGTCTGACAGCTCGCTCTAGATCGGACATTGCGTTACCGACTTTTTCTGTAAAAAATGAAAAATGCCCAGCGGGACAACAGAAGAAACTTCGGAAATGACACTGAAAACTCAAGAAAACCGGTGACGTTCGCATCCAAACTCCGACTTCAGAGACCCTAAACTCGGTCGCGGAATCCACGTTCACGATACGCGTAAAGTACGCCACGCTTATGTACAGGTGTCGGAGGAGGAAATAGTTCTGCAGCCAGGGAGAGTTCGGTATTTGAGTTGGCCACGGCTTTATCAGGGCTAATACCGCCGGAGAAGACTGAGAAATTATGAAGACTTAGCCTTATTATCTCGGAGAAAACAAGACTCTCTGCCGCTCCAAATCCTGAGAGGCAATCGCTTACCAGAACTGCGCATCAGGGAACTCCCAGAGTGTCAGACGGAGGAACAGTTTATTGCCACGATGACTCTCGTAAGAAAAACTTCTCAAGCGAAGGCACTGAATTGCGCGCTTGATATCTAACGCGCTGCATGACCAAGGTCAGCTTCTCGATCCATAGTGGAAGCGCCGACCATTATTTTAGACCATTCGCAAGTCAAATCAAAACAATAATTCCAGAGTATCTCGGCGGTAGACGAACTCGGAACGAGATGTTTGTGAATGTTAAATACCACTGAAATCTTGATGCCTCACTTCAGCCGTCGGCGAATTTTCCGCCGCGAGGGTGCGAGGCGAAATCTCGATACGCCGTTGTATCCCCGTAGAAATATGGCACCTCATTCGTCAAGGGGTTTTGGGGGGACATGCAGGGCCACAATAACGACGATATCCATGCTACGCGGCTTTCGGAGCTTCGACTCCACTAGCCGGAGCGAACTCTGTGCCTCAGCTCATAAGCTCGCGTCGAAACGGAAATTTAGGACTCAGGAGTCGAGGATGGATGCGATTCCCTTTTTTCACATTCGCGCAGAGGCGGCAACGTATCCAATGAGGTTGAATCGAGGAGCTTTCAAAGGAGACCTTATCGCTCGATTTTGCTCAAACCTCCGGAAATCCCGCCAAGAATCGAATGCGTGCCCAACCGCTCCATGAGGGGGCGAAAATTGTGCCTTTGGTTCTCGAACATCAGCTCCCCTACCCGCCAAGTGATAATTCGTTGACCACTGGCGGGGTCATTGGTTATCTGACTCTCCGAGCGACTTTCAGGTGCCTAGTCTGTCGATGTCGTGTTCGAGATCTCCAGAGAGGGAAATTCAGTGATACGCGCAGAGTCCGTAATCACTCCCAGCTTCCACTACTTTGGCTTCTTAATCCCCAATTGAACACAATGGCTCCCAATTGACCACCGAGACCTGCCAATCGCTAGTGGAAATTACCGGATGCCTAACTAGATAATTCCCCGAAACGCATAACTTGTCTCCCGAATCCCAGAAAAACGGGCGAGCAGCTCTTTCTTCATCGGACGCTGTTGCAGAGTCGAACATCGGACTACGCAGCGAAAGCATCCCGTAAGCAGCGTAGCAGAATTTGGGTCGGAAAGGTTCGGATCAAAGCCGCAGTGCGACAATCCAGCTTTCGCCCGGTTCCGTTTGGCAACACCACCCGAATCTACGGGACCGGATCAATACGAAAACAGGGACGTTGTTTTGAAGGTTCCACCCTGGAACTGGGAGCGGAAAGCGGCTTTCAATAGAGCGCCCCGCGGCGGAAAAAAATCGCTCGGGCGGACTTCCAAAATACTGTACAACAGGAGTATGCCAGCATTAGTGACATCGAGTCCGGAATAAGTATTAGAGGGATGGTTTCCATACTCTGCCACGACACTCGAGGGTCAGCCGGATCTGAGCGAGGGCTCATTCCGGTGATCGGAGGACTGAAGCTCCGTCTCTCGCCTCCGAGCTCTGCGCGGTAGCACCGGAACATGTCCGGAGGCTTTCGACGCCAGAACGAGAAAATTGGTCCTCTCGCCCCCTCTCTTGTGTTAGTTCATTGCCTCTTTTGCCCCATCGGAACAGCTCTGAAGAAATAATAGAATCGGGCACTCTCGATCCTCTTCGGATCATAGGAACGCTGACTAGCCGTGGAAGTTCAGTTTTCGTAACATAAGCTCATGCATTCCATCTCCGTCGGTCGCTTCGGAGTCTCGATGGAGGGAAGAGCCCCTCGTCGGTAGGTTTAGCATTGTAGGTTAGCTCCATGAAAATTCTCGCAGCCTTCTCTA